GTGTGTGTGTGTGTGTGTGTGTGTGTGTGTGTGTGTGTGTGTGAGAGAGAGAGAGAGAGAGAGAGAGAGAGAGAGAGAGAGAGAGAGAGAGTTGACTCGTGCGCAAGCAGAAGTGAGATAGTGAGAGGGAGAGTCAGCTAGCTGGATGAGGATGCTGGATATGGGTTGCTGAACTTTGTGCTGTTGAGCGTTGGTGCCTGGAAATCTGAACCTGTTTGATATGATGATTCATTGGAATTTCTATGCTGCGCTAATCTGGACTTTGCATCTCTGGTCTCCAGTGTGGATTTCGTGTGATCTCTCATTGTGTGTGTGCATGGGGTGACAAACAATGTGGTTCAATGCAATTGGTATCGGAGTTGGTACTCGCTGCATCTGCCGTTGATGACCGCTGGCAAGATTAAGGCCGGCGAGTGGAGTTTGGCAGTGGGGTTGGAGGCCGAAGAGGAAGTGGCCATTGTGGGGGATGTGGAGTACGTACTTGCATGGGTGGAGCGAATTCAAGGAGCATCATCAAAGGAATGTTCGCAAGTGAACTGCATCGCCCCCATTAGCCCTGCTTTGCTTTTATGAATGAACGAGTGTCATGTGTACCTTCTCACATCTTGGTGTTACTGCTGCTGGACAAAACACTTGGTGACATATCTGATGTTGTCTTGAGTCAGCATCTGGTCAGACACATGTGCATGAAGTAGGTCGTGTCAAGGATAGAAGCATGGGCATGAGCGGCGAACGCTCGTAAAACAACTTGTCTAGCCCTAAGACCGGTACTAACTGGCATGCGACGGAACCGGAGTTGACGTTGTGAGGAGCTATAAGTCTTGAGAGCGAAGAAAAAAGAAAAAGAGGAAAAGAAAAGGAAGGAGGAGGAGGAAGTAGAAGAAAAATTGGAAAAAGAGAGAAAGAAGATGGAGGAGGAGAAAAAGAAGACTAAGAAGGAGATGAGAAGGAGGGAGGAAGAGTTAAAGAGAGAGTTGGAAGAAGAAGAGGAGGAAGAAAAAGGACTAGAGAGGAGGGGAATCATACAAGAAGGGGAAGAGATGGCAGAGAGCAGCCATGCCAAAGAGATAAGACTCCAACGGGTTGAAAATATAATTGGGTGACAAATTTTGGGCTTCGGACAGAGCTCCCAAAAAAAAAGTGAAGAAGAGCGGGATCGAAGTTGGCAGCAATTAACGATGAGGAGGAGAAAAACTTGCTATTGGAAGAGAAAAGAAGTGAGCACAATCAGAAGTTGCTGGCCACAAAAAGGAGAGAGTTTGACGAAAAGAAAAAAATGAAAGAAGAGGGGGAAACACTCCAGGCGTTGCGAAAGGAACAACAGGGTAAACAAGTAGAACCCGAAGAACGTTGGAACCTTCTCACTGACACTTTGGTGCACACCACCCAAGAACTTCTGCTCTACAACGGACCATTGGAAAGATAGAACAACACCAGGAAGAGTTTGAGAGTACGTGGAATAATTACCTTTGTGTGTTATCCCATCAAGTTGATCATAGGATCATTTGTTATGCACGCCAACTAGATGACCACTTCTCCAAGTAACACCATCCTTTCGACAAAGTTGAGTGTCGGTGGTGGAGCTGGAGATGGTGGTGACAATGGGGATAATGACAAGAAGGGGAAAGGTCCAGAAGGGATGATGGAAAGGAAGGTGAAGGAGACAAGTCCGAGGGAGAGGAACGCAGAGAATATATGAAAGTTAACGTCCCTTGGACGTACACTGGGAAGAGGGAAGGAAACATTTTTCATTGGGAGGCAGCGGTGGATACATACTTGTACGTGCAGTTGATTTCGTATTGGGACCGTGTACATATGGCAAGTTCCTACCTGGGGGGAGACGCAACTAACTTCGCCATCTCGTTAGTGAAAGAGGTCGGTTGCAACTCGATGGTGCAGTACTCTCAACGAACTAGGATTGAGCCGATGGTGCAGTACTCTCAGCGAACTAGGATTGAGGACTTATTTAAGGCCTTGAAAAATCGTTTCGAGGATAAGAACTTGGCTTGCAGTACTGAGCACCTCATCCTTAATATAAGTGACCGCAATTGGAAGAGTGCATCGACACTCAAGATCACTATGGACGAGCTGTTGTGATGTCGCGATCATGGATTGAGCCCCGCTTAGATACTTAATAACTTCGCTAGAGCGCTCCCAGAACCCCTCAAGACCCAGTTGTATCCTCGCACGAAGGAGGAGGGGATGGCTAATGAAAAACTCGGTAAGATGCCGGGTTTCTGCAATAGGCGAACTATTGCCACTATTGGAAGGACCTGCAGGCCGGCAAGAGGTCGAAAAACAGAACTATATCAGGCAGTATAGAACGTAAGGACAATTTTATGGTCATCTTCGAAGAAGGCGGCGTATAATCATTATCATATGACCAGATAGACTATGGTTTACAAGAGGATAACAACAGTGAAGTAGCTTGGGGAGGGGACTATGCGGCAGTTGCATCCCGTGGGGGAGGGCATCAAGGCTGAGGCCGAGGTAGAGGAGGCCGAGGTGGAGGTGGAGGTCGAGGACCCACCGCCTAGAGGGGTGGCGGCGAAGGAAGCTGCTACATGGGAGGTAGGGGTAATGGTCCCTCGCAAGGAGGTAGAGGTTCTTCGTTCATAGGGGGTAGATGTAGAGGCAAGTGTTGGCGATCGTACCCCGCACACCCGAGGATAGCCGAAGGCAAACCTTGAGAGCAAATGGGAATAAACGAGAAAGTTTTGGAAGAACAACGCCAAGCCAACCAATGTTTTAAGTGTGGTGACCCTGACCACATCGTTCCCTTTTTCCCCGAATAGAGGTACCAGAAAGGGAACAACCAGTAGAGGTTGCAGTGGCCTCTACAAGGACTTCGGACTTAGACAGGAAGATAGAAGCGCGAGCTGGATACGCACCCTCCTCTTCGAAGGTCCCAATTGCAAAGACTGATGTAGGCCCCCACCTCGCTAGTTGTCCTGAGGTTGCTTGCGCTAGGACCTCTCTAGGTAGTTCCCTCGCAAGCATTGGTGATGAGCTGATCACTCTTCGCTTCGCTTGGTCTGAAATGAAGAAGAAGTCGAAGGGGCAGTTGATATTAGTCGAAGAGGTTGCAGAAGATGCACCTAGGTGTGAAGATAAATAGGTTAGAGGAGCCGGTTATTAGTAAGTTGGCCGACAATAGGCATAAAATAGTGTGTATGTTGAAAGGGTTAAAGCATAATTCCGGTTGGAGGCAGGGGGAAAGGTAGAGAAAGTTATGCACTCCCTGACACTCTTAGTGGAGGACAGCCTTCCTTTCGACATGATACTAGGAACAAACAGGGGCAACGTCGTGTCTGCTGTCAGGTTCATGCTTTCTTGTAAGCACAAACATAGCCCCAGTAAGTAATCTTGCATTTTAGCTGAGAGTGTAGAAAATATCCATTTGTAGGAGATTGTAGGTTGCTTCACGTAGTCTAAACTTTATGTTCCCAATTCAAACTGCTATATAATAAGTAAAGTTTGCTATATTTTGCTCCGATATTAAAGAACTGAGCAAATGAAGGCTTGAGTATTTGAATCTGTACGTTTGTGTGTGCATATGCATGTACATGTGCATGTGGGTGCTGCAGCAGAACGACCCAGAAGGTAAACCTGGTGCATGTTGCTACAATCTAAGTTCATCCTTGGACAAGATGGAGGCAAACCAAGACACAGAAGACTTCACTGAAGGTATCAGCAGAGCATTGTCAAAACTGGAGAACATGACGGGCGATAGCTCAGATGTGGAGGTACTTCGTTCTAGTTCTCCTTCTTTCTTCTTTGTTGTCTACTTATTTCTATTGCTTTCGTCATCATATGTGGAGTAGGCGAAACACATCAGGGTCTGGCTTTTCTCATGTGCCATGTAGTCTTTCCACGCAGTCATTACATGTGGAGTAGCCACAAGATTAGCTATGTTTTGCAGTTTTGCTCAAAGCAAGTGTGCGCAATGAATTGATTTTAAGGTGTATTACGATCCTGACCAATTCCAAAGTCTAATATATACAAGAAAAGACAATGACGTCTTATTGCAAAAGAAATGAAAGAACTTGACAAGAGAACGATGCAAGGAAATGAGCGATAGCGACATTCAGAAACCAAGCCGCGACATACATATGAAACCAGATAGTCTTGACCTCGAACCAAAATCAGAATTGTGACTCCAATCACACCAGATAAGAGCACAACAGAGCTCACAAATGACAATGTTGGAATAGCCTTGTCATCATCATCAATGAACCAATGCCGTTCCCCTATCTGGCGCTCAGCGCCCAGACTACGAATGACAGATCCTATCTAGCCTATCTACAATGCCGCAGGTGACGTCAACAGCTTTCCGAAGTACGAGCAGATCTCGGCCAATGCCGTTCGCATCAAGCACTAGGTATGTCCCCGCTTCACTCACAACCTCGATCCTCCCCACAGATGCCACATGCACCCAAAGACCACCATGCGCCCCATCCAGCAATGCGCAGGGCGTACACCCTGCTCACCCGTGAGCACGTAGGCACTCGCTCCAGCAGCGGTTGCGCATAAGCAGCGAGTGCCCGAATGTGCAGCCAGCGGCCAGGCCCTTTCCTATATGGAATATGGCTGCCAGTCGTGGACTGCCTGGCTGGCATGGGCCTCTCCCCAGAAGCTTCCGGTAGGCCTCAAGTGGTTGAACCCCTGTCCCAGGGAATCTTCCACAGGGCCTGGGGTGGTTACCCGTGTCCAACTGCCAGGTGGGCTGTGTTCAGTTTGTGCCTAGTGTCTGGCCCAGGGCCTGCCTCCGATTCATTCGGAATAGGGCGTGGAGGCCCGAGATATTGGTAGGCAGGGCCTGGGCTCACTCATCCAACTGACGCTGCGTAACTGTGGCATACTGCGTAGCCACACGGGCCCTGTAGGACCCGTCCCGGACATTCAGCCTAAAAGCCTAAAACTTAGGATCTACAGGCCCCGGTCGTTTCAGCCTGAAAACTGAAAAACGCGGGCCTGCAGGCCCTACTCCGTTTCAGCCTATTTCTGGGTCTTTCAGACCCAGAGTTTTTCCAGCCTGAAACGGAGGGCTATTCTTAGGCC